CGTGCATTCCTAATTTCCTCCTATATCTCTCCCTTTCGCTTTCACTTCCATTTCATTTCATTCATACCTTCGCTTCACGAATTTCTGCTGTGATAGTGAAGACAAAAAGGGAAGCTAGCCATGGAACCCCTCCAACCCAGTCTTTTGAAGTTTCCAGCAAAGACTTCCAAGCTGGGAATGATGATCCCCAGGACAAGGCCGTCAATGAGTGGTAATTTCTCTTCTCTCAGATCAATTTCATTTTTTCCCTTGTTGGGACTGCATAGAGTTATTGTTTGTTTATATCTGATTGAGTTTTCTGATTTTCTGGAGATGTAGTTGTTCTTGCTGCTATGATTGCACAGGAGGCTGCCTCGATTACTTGTTCTGTAACTTCTGTTGAACTCTTCAATGGGATTATTATGGATTCACGGGACAGACCCAGAAAACAGGGCTGGGGACGCCTCCTTTTGTAATTATTGCATGTATTATGGGAATTTAGCAAGGGAAAAAGGTTATGCTTTTAGAGTACTTTCGAGAATTTTGAAGAATCTCTGTCTCTCTTCTTCTTCTTCTTCTCTCTCTCTCTCTCACTGCTATTTTAAATTCTTGATCCTTTTATTACCTGCTGGGCTTGAGTTTATCCAAGCTGTCTGTTTCGAAGATTTGGAATTTCAGTGAGGTTTGACATGTAATGTTTAAAGGGCAGGCTTGAGTCTCTTTCCCATGTCGGACGACGAAATTACTCCTTGTGAAGGACCGTGCGATTTGGATTGAAAGATGAAAAGGGGATAATAAAGAATATAATAACGATAATTATTGGAATGATGTTGCTGATAAATTTTTAGAAATTGACTGTATTATCAGCTCAGTGTCTCATTCCCGAAACAAACACAATCGGAATTCCTGGCCATCACAAGAACCCCATGAAAGGAATAAACTTGATATGCTATGAATATGCCAAAAAAGCAATAACAAAGGATAGGATAGAGCTTCATTAGTTTCAGAGGAGCCGTGGCCAACTAATTCTCGTAGTGTAATCCAGTACAGCTCCTTCCACCTCCTTCTCCTCGTGCTTTGTTTGCTCTTTTGAAGGGTTTTAAGAAATTCTCTATAAGCACGTTTATATAAACCTAGACAAAACTCTTCTTATATACTTACTTTGTATTCGATAAATTATTATTAAAAAGCTACTTATAAGTTATTTATAAGCTATTCCAAATAGACTTATTATCTGTTCTATGACTTTTCCTACAACAAGATAAGTTTTGCTATCTTCTATAATGATTGTACACACATATTCCACCACAGAGGCACAGATTCACAGAATATGTATATTCAAATGCCATGCACTTTCGAGATATATATATATATATATATATATATATATATATATAGTTCGCTATATGCATTCAAAAATCCACTTGTTCTGCCCCATCAGAACTCGCTAATGCTTTACCATTTCAGCAGGTCAAGCATAAACAGTAAAGTAATTTATTGATAAACACTACCTTGAGATTCATTGCACTTGCCAGTAAAGTAATTGTTTTTAATTGATAAGTTGAATAGATTAATGGAGATGGATCACGTGGTCTAACCTGTATAGTCATTAGTTAACATTAACAATGAAGCTTCAAAATGGTACTCACTCATGTCATTTTTATAATTTTTGAATTAGTCCAGTCATTTTTATAATATATAATTTGGAATTGTTTGAATATTAAATGCATTTTTATTAATTTTATTCCTAATTAATTGTATAATCTTTTTTCCTCACATTCTCTTTCATCTTTTTTACTATTTATCTTTCTTACATGCCTTTTTTAATATAAATAAAGGCGTATTTGGGAAAAAAAATGTATTTCTTACTTATGGATTACTTTTAATTAATATTAATATATCCCGTAAATTACATTATAAAATAAGTTTTATATTTAAAACTAAAAAAAGTATTTATTGTCACACACATATTTAGTGCCAGTTGAATCCTTAACAATGTCATAGATAACCGAATTAGTGGGAGAAATAATAAGAAGAGGTATATTACTTCAGGTAACAAAAGTTTTAACTTAGAACGCAATATATTCTTCATATTGAGCAGCCAAAGTCAACTTGGGATGTAATATTTAGCCTTGTAACAGTTTCTTAACAAGAGAGATATGATGCAATACATCATCTTCCCACTAAGATCAGTTGTGCATGAGGTGAGAGTGGACTTAGATACTTCTTTCTCCCCATTATCAAAGTAAATGTGGACCTGTGCCGAACTCAAGTGCTTGAGACTTACATAGTGGCTCCCCCACTCTGCATTAAACTACACTTTGCAGAAGCTGCTTTTTCTTCTATAAATTGCTTCCACTTTGCAACTTATTGTCTCACAGCACTTGTAATTCAGTTATTAGAGAAAACTCTCCTGGATTTCACTCATGGAGTGTGCCATTTACAAGCATTCTTCTCTTTTCTTGTGCTGCCTTGTGCTCCTTAGTCCTCTTGTCTTCTGTCAGCTTAATTACATGTTCTATGATTCTACTTGTCCAAACCTAACTGGTGTTGTTCGATACAATGTCTGGTCAGCCATTTCCAATGAATCCAGAATTGCAGCTTCTCTCTTGCGTCTTCATTTCCATGATTGCTTCGTCAATGTAAATAAGTTGCCTCATAAAACAAAAAAACTCTTTTTCTTTAGTCACTTTTATGATAAGTTGTCACCTTTAAAAAACACAGCTTTTTTGTTTTTCTGGTACAGGGATGTGATGGTTCTGTGCTTCTTGATGATACCAGCACGTTCACGGGTGAAAAGAATGCCCTTCCTAATAAAAATTCATTAAGAGGATTTGAAGTAATTGACACAATCAAGTCTGCTTTAGAGAAGGCATGCCCATCCACAGTGTCATGTGCTGATATAGTTACTCTAGCCGCCAGAGAAGCTGTTTACCTTGTAAGAAATATCTGATATATATACTGTGAAAATGAATTAGCTCCCTTTCTAATTTAGATACAGTACATCATATACATATTCATATCCCTGCTTTAAATTTCTCAGAGTGGAGGTCCATTTTGGCCTGTGCCTCTTGGTCGCAGAGATGGCACAACAGCAAACAAGACTGAGGCTAATAATTTGCCATCACCTTTTGAGCCCCTTCAAAACATCATTGACAAGTTCATCACTAAGGGACTTGATATTAATGATGTAGCCACCCTCTCAGGTTTGATTCTTCCATTACTTTACCTCTCCAAACTTGATATTATAGTAAGTGTGAAAGTGAAAGTGTGACTCATCTATGGCCATTTGCAAACAACCCTTTAGAAACAAACATATACATTCTGTATAAACATTCACCCTTTTTATGGATCTTGCAGGTGCACACACCTTTGGTTTTGCTCAGTGTTTTACCTTCAAGTCAAGGCTGTTCAACTTTGGAAGCAAAGGCAAATCTGATCCGCACTGGATTCTTCACTTCTTCAAACTCTGCAGAAACTATGCCCTGACCAGGATGATTCTGACACCAAGTTGGCTCCTTTGGATCCAGTGACCACGAACAGATTTGATAACATGTACTATAGAAACCTAGTGAACAATTCAGGATTGCTTCAGTCGGATCAGGCTCTTCTGGGTGACAACAGAACAGCTTCTTTAGTTCTCAATTATAGCAAGTATCCTTTTCTGTTCTTAAGGGACTTTGCAGTGTCCATGGAGAAGATGGGACGCATAGGTGTTCTCACTGGGCAAGAAGGTGAGGTCAGGAAGAACTGTAGGGTAGTGAATTAGCTAGCATCTGCTCGTGACATGATGCTATAAGTCTGTATGACCTTAGGAGTTGACTGCTCGTGACAATGAATCAGAATGTGAACTCATTCGAGTTCTATTGGAGTGAAATCTTACAAGTTATGTTGTGGAAGTTGCTCTTATAAGTACTTTCTTAGAAGTAAAGCTTTCTATGCTTGAAAGGTAAATTTTTGGCTATCAATATTATCACAAGTATCAATGTCAATAATCAATAAAAATAAAATACAAAATTACAATAAACTATACTATTTACATGAAGAAAATGATACAATGAGTAAAGAGGGTCTTTTCGCCTATTATGCAAATCATACTCAAATCCCCTAGAAGTTAGGACCACTTGTAAAGCACTCTTAGTAGTAAGTGAAATTCAACAAACTTATTTATATTAAAATTTTTTATTTAGAATTGTTGAATAATTTTTTAAAATTAAATTAGTATACTTTGTTTTTACCTTGAATTAGTGTATTTAATTTTGAGGAATAAAAATTATACAGATGTTTATTATTTCAATGTTAGATATTCAATTGATATGCTTTCATAAAATAGTTTTACGTAATTTTTATTGACTTAATTCTCGTAACTTCTCTACTAAACAATTTGGTTTTGTTAGACAAAAATTAAAGAAAAATAGAGGATAAATTTCTCATTACAAATTTAATTAGCAAATGGTCTCTAGTATGATTGATTGTATAAGAGAAGATTAGTTGCGCACAAAAGAAGATAAATTGCATACAAAAAGGATGTTTTGCATAAAACTATTTGGATATAAGAAATAGTTTGCACATAGAGAAATAGCATGCACATAAGAGAATTTTATTTGCACACAAAAAATTATTACACAAAAAGGAAAATAAGTTGTATACAAAGGAAGTTAAGTTACAAAATAGAAGTTAAGTTACAAAAGTTTTTAGATCCTATTTGCCAATTAAATTTTCAATGTGGCATTTATCTCCAATTTTTCTAAATTAAATGAATTTTAAAATTTAAAAACAAGCATTAAAATGCTCGTTCTTAGATAAAAAAATATAAAATAATAATAAAATCACAGAATTAATAAATCATGATAATACGTTGGCCAAAAAAATCATAAAAAATATATCTTTTTTTTAAAATTGAGAATAATATATCTTAAAAAGCAAATTTCTCTCTCCCTTTAATAACAAGAATAAAACAAAGGAATAAAACAAAAAGGGCGGGATTAAATGGCGGAGCTGTGAGCGCAGAGTAGAAGTAGCACATGACCCTAGTCGTCGCGGCACGCATAGAAAGGTGAAAGGGAAAGACGTTCAAACTAAGAAGTGGGGTTAGGGTTCGCAGTGTTCATACTTCCTTCATATTCATCAGTGAAAGAGAAGTGATCAAAGGAAAATGGTGAACCCAAGATGCTATCTGGACATAAGCATTGGAGGAGAGTTAGAGGGTAGGATTGTGGTCGAGCTCTTCAAAGACGTCGTCCCCAAGACTGCCGAGAATTTCAGGGCTCTTTGTACTGGTGAGAAGGGTGTCGGTCCCAACACCGATGTTCCCCTGCATTACAAGGTCTTTTCTCTCACACTTTGCTTTTGTTGTATTTTTTCCCGTCTTTCTCTCATCTTCTCTTCCGCCTTCTCATTGAGGGCAAATAAATTTGTTTGCAATTTTTATTTTTTTAGACACTTTGATACAACCATCAGGCCTTTCTGGCGTCTATTTTGGTTTCGCTCAACTTGCGAATTTTCTATTCAAGAATGTTGTGAACTGCATTTCGTTTAGTGTGTAAATTTCGTACTTGTTTAGTTTACTCTACCTCTCCACTAGAGAAGGCATGTTGGTGCTTTATTCTTCATTCTTTAGTCAAGACTTCAAAGTTCTATATTCTTGATTCGGCTTTTGAATATTCACTGTAGGGAGTCCGTTTTCATCGTGTCATTAAAGGTTTCATGGTGCAAGGCGGAGATATCTCAGCTGGCGATGGCACTGGAGGAGAATCCATTTATGGCTTGAAATTCGAGGATGAGAATTTTGAGTTGAAACATGAGAGGAAAGGGATGCTGTCTATGGCTAATGCGGGTCCCAACACCAATGGATCACAATTTTTCATTACCACCACTCGGACTCCTCATTTGGATGGAAAGCACGTGGTGTTCGGAAAGGTGATAAAAGGAATGGGTGTTGTGCGTTCTATCGAGCATGTTACCACTGGGGAAGGTGACTGTCCCACCCGAGATGTCATCGTTGCTGATTGTGGGGAAATACCTGAAGGGGATGATGATGGAACCATAAACTTCTTTAAAGATGGCGATACTTATCCTGATTGGCCAGCTGACCTAAGTGTGAAGCCAGATGAAATTTCTTGGTGGATCGAGGCTGTTGATTCTATCAAAAGTCTGGGGAATGAACTGTACAAGGTACAATGTTGTCACCTGTCTCTGCATGATATTCTTCGATTTGTCCTCACGATTTCCCTTCCTGTTCCTTTCCTTACAGTTCTAGTCTTAAATCATTATATTTATTCGTAAGAATTGGAAGATGCAGAGGCTGTCTTTCGTTTAATAATCAAGTGTTGCTATATCATTTTCAACATGCAGAAGCAAGATTTTAAGTCTGCTCTTCGCAAGTATCGCAAAGCTTTGCGCTATTTGGATGTCTGCTGGGAAAAGGACGACATTGATGAAGGTCAACCTGATACTTTGGCATATGCTACTTGTTCTGTGCTGAATTATATGCTGAGTGCTATTTAGCTCTGTTAGTATCTCACAGATCTTTTATTTCTGAATTCCCAGAGAAGAGCACTGCTTTAAGGAAGACAAAATCTCAAATTTTTACCAACAGTTCTGTAAGTACCATCTTGTAAAACTGTGACTGGATCATACCTCTATCATTATTTATTGAGACCCTTTTAATTACAAAATAATATTTTTACTTTTTGAAAATATTCCTGGTCCCCTGGAGTGCATTGTAAAGCAAGAAGTGAATTAACAGCTTGAGCTATGTTATGACCAAGTATTTGTCCGGTTGGGCCCAGTATATTGAAATTTTAGCATCTTGAAAGATGAAAGATTGCAAATGTGCAATGGAATGTCCATCTTCATTTCCTTCCTAGGAGCAAATAAAACGTAAAAAAATTGTATGCAAAAAGTACCAAAGCATTAGAAATAAAATGAACTGCAAATCTTGATGGTATCCTTGTTTTCTTGTCTTTGATATGTTTTCTCTATGTTAGCCATAGCTTTGTGAATGATTGTTTCATTTATGACATGTAAGCATTCTGCTCAAAAACAATCTGTAAAGAATAATGCGAGAAGTTATAATATGGGTGTAATCATGGAAGGCTCTCTTAATTACTTGCCCACCCAGAATCAGCATGGAAGCTTTAAATTTAATTTGTGGCTGTAATTTATGTAACATTTTGATTTTTCTTATTTTCCTTTGTATCTCACTTTAACTGAAGACTTATGTCCTGTGGTTTAATTTTATAGGCTTGTAACTTGAAATTAGGCGATCCAAAAGGAGCATTGCTGGATTCAGATTTTGCATTGCATGATGGAGATAACGCAAAGGCCCTGTTCCGCAAAGGCCAGGTTGATCTCTTCCGATGTGGATAGTTGATGATGATGATGATGAAATTACACGATACTGACTAATAATTTGTGTAATCTATGTGTGACCTGTTTTACTCTCTTGCTCCACTTTTTTCGTGGATTATGCTGACTTCGATTTGTAGTATGACCTTCCTACACCAGTAGGTTCAGAGCCTGGAGTCTCTCTCTCTCTCTCTCTCAAATTTTTGTGCTTTTTATGAATTGTTGAACATCTTATACAGCCAAGTAATTGTCAAGTTCATAATTCCTGGATTCTCTGCTGAACCAGTCTCATTAATGACCTGGAATTTGTCATTTGTACTTTTCAGGCATGCATGGAATTAAATGACCTGGATGCTGCTGTTGAAAGCTTAAAAAAAGCATTAGAGCTGGAGCCGAATGATGGTAGGCGGTGGTTGTTTGAGTTCTTCATATTATTTTATCTGTTGAGGGTTGTGTAGGTTTTATATATAGAGTTGAGTTTTATAAGCAGCATTATATCATAAAGCAAAGTAAACAGATAGTGGTTAAACAAATCGGTAGACCATGACTCTTGGATATTTAAATGTTGCAACACGAACCACGTCTGTGGTATGTCTGGTAAATTTGACTTCGACCCCTTCTCTGTTCTTCAGGAGGAATTAAGAAAGAGCTTGCAGCTGCAAGGAAAAAGGTCAGTCATTATATTTTTTGATTTCCTTTACTGTTTATTCTTGTTCGATACAATTTCAGCTTACTGACATCGGTTTAATGTTTACTTCGGTTACAGATTGCTGTTAGACGTTACCAAGAGAAAAGAGCTTATTCCAGAATGTTCGCATAGAGTCCTTGGAGTTGTGGCCCCTGCTGCTGCGGTATTGCGTAAAACAACATGGGGATGGCTGTCAGATCACCTGATCAAAATTTTCTCATTTTCCTTTGCGGGCCTAAATAGTCTTTTAAATCATCAGGTATAGTGTTAATTAGTACTATTGATGGGATAATGTTTCGCTTCTGTCAATTTTCTTTGCTTAGGATTCGAACTTGCATGCCTTGATGGCTTGATGTGCCTCGTATATTTTCTGATGGAATGTGTTCCCATCTCAGGTATCAGACAGCAAATCAGCCAAGCCCAACTTTCATGGATTCTGTTTTTGGTGTTGAGTTTGTTAAAAATTAGTACGAGGTGATCCGCTGTCTGTAACTTGAATGCTGGTTCATGTAATGAGGAGACAAATATATGCTAAAATTTCAGAGCGCTTGTTCCTGAAATTTCGATATTGCTTTTGCCTCCGGTGTTGATTGAGTGTCAAGGCTCTTGCGGCCGTTTGGTGACAACAATTTTCAAAAACAAAATATAAAAGAACACAACTCATTACATCAAGGATTTGGATCTCCTCCATTGAAACTCCCTTGATAAGCATCGAGAGAAACCAACCATCAAAATAAGGACCCTATGAAAACTTAAAGAAACCCCCCCCCCCCACACAAAAAAAAAAAAAAGCTCACAATATGTGTGTAGATCGTTGGCCTAGGGAGAAATTTGCTGTGAAAATTTTTGTTCAGAGTCCCTGAGCACTTAGAAGCTTTTGAGGGTACAAATTTAATCTAAAAACTTAAAATCGCATTAGTGTTGTCTTTTATTGTTAAAAATGTTGCCAGTTAATATCATTATTTGCGCCTAAAAAGATTTCTGATAACCTAGTGAGGGAAAACTTTCGGAACATTGTTGAAAGCCACCGGCTTTTGCGGCAAGTCATTCATGGGTGAGGCTGTAAGGTCATTTGCGGCGTGGTTTTTAATTTGAAACCATGGTTTGGGTTTTTGGGTTTTTTTTCAAACCATGATTTTAAAGAGAAAACTATGGTTTGAAGAAAAAACATCCAAACACTATATATTTTTTCAAAATCACTTTTTAATTTGAAACTATGGTTTATATAAAAACAACCAAACACTATAATTTTTTCCAAAATCACTTTTCATTTGGAAACCATAGTTTTTCATAAAGTGGATTTTTTTTTCCTTTTGAAAGTATAAAACCATGATTTGAGATATAAATATATATACACATATCAATTACTACTTTTGATCCTTAACATAAGAGTTAGAAAACTAATTTGTAAATATTAAGAAAATTAGTTAAATTATTTATTTATAATAAATATGTGTTGCATTTTCCAAAACACATATTAACGATGTGCATTAGGATTATTATTTGATGTAACATTTAACATGTGCAAACTAACATGAGGACTACTTTGAAAAAAATGGATAAATGTATGAGACAAGATAGATTGATATCTTATATTCAAAATCAAATGGAATACCCAGTTAGCTCTTATACTAAGGACCGGAGATAATATTAATTATATTTTTTCATATATAATTTATTATTTACAAATTTATTATTTCAAACAATATAAATTAAAATCTATCATTTATCTAATTATCATATTAGTTTATGTCCTTTTTAGTAATTTGTATACAAAAAAAGATTTTGATAACAATTATCCAAATATTCTCACTTTATTAAAATCATTTTTTTTCAAAATCTATTCTTCCAAAATCTATTCATAGAATCTATTTTTTCAAAAAGCTATTCTTCAGAAACTATTCGCGAAACCATGGTTTGAGTTTATCCAAACACCCTAAGGTGTTTGGATGAAGCCAAACCATGGTTTGGAGAATAGCTTCTGGAGAATACTCCAAACCATGGTTTCAGAAACACTTTTTCGCAAAACGAGACAAACTCCTCCATATATTTACTTTGTAAACCGTAAAAGCATTTTTGAAACCATATTATTCCCTAAGTGTTTGGATAAAAACCAAATCATGGTTTCAGAAGTGCTTTTACGGATTACGAAGTAAATATGTGGAGAAGGTTATCTCATTTTACGAAAAAATGCTTCTGAAACCGCAGTTTTGAGAATACCAAATACGAAAAAGTGGCTTTATCCGAAACCATGGTTTTGGGGGGTAAAACCATGGTTTCTCCAAAACCATGGTTTGAGATATTTAATAGGGTGTTTGGCAAATTTCTTTCCAAACTATGGTTTGGGCCAAACACCCCTTACACTCGATTGTTGCTCTGTTCACCATTTACGTGGTTAAAGCTTTTGGCGCTCTAAGCTAAGTACGCTTCTTGACTTTCGCGCCCCGCTCTCTCCCTCCCTTGAGGATTCTTTCCATGGCGGATCCCTTTTCTAGGTCTGTCCTCCTTTCTCCCCTTAACCTTTTCCGTCTTTGAGCATTCTTTATTTCTTTGCTTTTTCTTCCCCCTGCGATTCTCTTCAACATTTTCATGGTGTGATGCCCTTGAATTGTATTTTCTTTTCTGTTAACTCAAGTTTTCTTTGTTCTCGTCTGCTGCAAATTATAATTTTACAATTTTCTAGTACAATTTTATTTTGAAATTTGCTTCCCTTCCATATCTTTCTTCTTTCTCTAGTCTCATTCTAATTAATATGGCGATGCTGGTTATAGCTTTGATCATCCGGATTATGCTGAGATCGTTGTAATACGTCATGGTGAAACAGCATGGAACGCTGATGGAAGAATTCAGGTACTTTTCTCGGCGGGTGGAGTCTGACGTGATTAAGTAAAACAGTGATGATATTTGATACCAATTATAGATGAATTATAAAAGTTTTCACAGCAAATCAAATTGTAGGTTGGGCTTATTTCTGCTGTTGTATTTGATGCACACATGTCTCTAACCACTATGATAAGCTTATCTTAATAGATGCTTTTAAAGCGAAAGTGGCATAAGCCACCCGCTGTAGGTCTAACCAAATATGATAAGCTTATCTTAATAGATGCTTTTAAAGCGAAAGTGGCATAAGCCACCCCTGTAGGTCTCTTTGGCCTTTATGGATGTCAATGATTTCTTAAATCTTCTTATCTGTTTGCAAAAGCATGTGCTTTGCTACCCTATAATCGCAATCACTTTGTTATCGGCAAGACGGCAACTGTTATTCATAGCTTACCATATTTACTTCTTTCCCTTTTGTGGTATTTTCTACCTTCCGTGCATTCGCCTCTCTTTATAGCTTTCTTGGCCATTCTTTCCTATATTGATAGCCCCCTTCATATAAGCTCATACATGTATGTGATCAGGGACATCTGGATGTTGAGTTAAATGAAGTTGGAAGAGCGCAAGCAGCTTCAGTAAGTTGCTTTTGTTGCACAACTTTACTCTCTTTACAGACTCTCCGTTTTTTTTTTTTTTTCCAAAGTCTATTTATGCCTCAACGACTAATGCCAATATTTTGGGTGGAGGTGGCTGAAAGACTAACTAGGGAACCCAAGGTCTCTGTTGTATATTCTTCTGACTTGCAACGAGCTTATGAGACAGCACAGATGATTGCAACCAAATGTGGAGGGCTAGAGGTTTGAACCCGGACTAACATTCTTCACGTTTCATTTCACTATATTTTGTGCCCTAGAATAATAGTTCAGTCTTGATTTCCATTGCAGACTATGCTTAGTGCTCACAGTCATTCAGTTCATTTGATATATTCGTATTCTCACGGTCTTGCTATTTATTATTAGCCGGACTATGCGGGAAGAACCTTACTGTTTTGTGGAAGTTATGACATAATAATGAAAAGCTTATTTTTTTAATTAGAAGGATAGCCACTAACAGTCTGAAATTATAAACGGGATCGAATCCCCAACCTCTCACTTAGAGGGGAACTTTCATGCCATTAACTTACAAGATCATTGACAAAGTTTAAATATTTTAAATTGCAACTAAGATATGTCTTAATTTTAAGTTCAATGGCTCCCCATATCATTCTGCCATGTGCATGTGTTATATCACTTCCCCATCTTCCTCTGCAGTGTTGAATTTAAATATAACTATACGTATTCCTCTTTGTATCTCCTACCTTAAACACCAGGTCGTCAAAGACCCTGACCTAAGGGAAAGACACCTAGGGGATCTTCAAGGTATTTCCCGTCGTGAAGCAGCAAAGACTAATCCCACAGCTTACAGAGCTATGGATCGAGGTCAAGAAATACCAGTAAGTGTGGCAGAAGACAAATTATTATACCCCTTGTTTAAAATATAAAGAGGAATTCACACAAGCCAATGGACAGTTGCTTTGAGCTGATCGTGTTTGTGATTCAGTTGCTGCACTAATCTTGATTAGTTAGTCTTGTGCCTTGCCACTATATTATCAATACTGTGATTGCCTTTTTTGCACGTACCGGAGATTAATGCATATGTCACAATATTCAGGGTGGGGGAGAAAGTCTTGATCAACTTTCCAAACGCTGCACATCTGCATTGCAGAGGATAGGCATGAAGTATTTAGGTAGGCTACCTTGGTAAAATTATCCTTCATGCTCGTGAGAGGATAGCCAGGGCAAATTTGCTTTGACATGCAACTTACTTGCCCTTCTTGTGGACCCTGGATTTCTGTTAGACAATGTGGACGTAACAAGCAGTTCGTGACAGCTGATAATGCTATGTTAATGAATCCATTTTCAAAGTCTTTTGACACGTAAATAATTATGTGAAATTATCTGCATCATTTGCAGGGAAGCGTGTAGTGGTTGTTACTCACGGAGGTGTCATTAGATCACTTTACAAGCGAGCCAATAACAAAAACAAGCGTTGTGGGATGATACTCAACACGTCTGTCAATGTCTTTCACTTGTATGAAGACAAGTGGATTATAAAAACTTGGGGAGATGTTAGCCATCTGAGCCAAACAGGATTTCTGCAATCGGGTTTTGGGGGTGACAGAACTTCTGGTTAGGCTGTATCGCTTGACTTATTCATTGAAGCAATATGCATAAGATGTTCTCCAAATAATACATTTCACAACCTATTTTGTTTTAAGGCACAGTATTATGAATTTCAATGACGCTGGGGATCATTTTTACAATCTGTGATGGGTGCGTGTGTGTGTAGAAGATTTTCCTTTTTATTCTACTTAACTATGTTGATGAATAGTTCATGCTGTGAAGTTCGAGTAGATGTTATCATAATTGATTTCATATTAAGGGTGTGTTTGGCAAGCACCCCAAACCATGGTTTTGGGACCCAAACCATGGTTTGGGAAAAATGTTAGCCAAACACCCTTAAAAAAATCAAAACCATGGTTTTGAGAAAAGCAGAAATTTTTTACTTTTGGAAGAAAAGAGAGAGAGTGTGAGAGCCTATAGGATATGTATCTTGTTGTTTTTTTTATAAACATATTTTTATAAATATATTTAATCTTATATCTTATAAATATATATACATATTAATTATTTATTAATTATATTATCTTATATATTATTAATATATGTTAATAAAAAATATATTATTAACAAGTTTATTCCTTCAAATTAAAATATATCATAAAATATATTTTTTCTATAATTATCATATTAATTTATGTCAATTTGTATATATAAAAAGTACTTCTAATAACAACTATCCAAAAACTCACATTTCTCAAAATCATTTTTTCACAAAATCTATTCTTCCCAAAATTTATTTTTTTCAGAATCTATTCTCCAGAAGCTATTCTCCAAACCATGGTTTGGTTTCATTACATCTTTCTCACTCCAAACTTTTCATGTAACTTTCTATAATACTCCAGAAAAAGCACAATCTCAATGAAGAATTTAACATAAGTCTCCCAGGATATATTGCAATGCTCCATCCTTTATGTTCTTTTTATCCTATTTCATGAATGTTGGAATTGTATATGTACGTATTTTTAAAAAAATTACCAAAATTTTTTAGTAAAAGAAAGTTGTCAAATAAAATATCAAAATCATTTTTATCCTCCAGTTCACATGTCTGTTTGACTGATTATGTCGCGTCTTTCCTTTCAATTTCCGCATGACTCTCCATTGAAGAGACTATTGCGTATGTGCTTTAATTTTCTTATTCTAAACAAGTGTGTTAAAATTATATGCCAGTTTGATTAAGGAGTTTTGACCATAATTAGAAGGTTTCCATCAATTCTTCGCTGTTTAACTAGCATCATAGCTCTTCCAAATGAATCATTTAGTTCTCCCCATGCGTACGCTGCCTCCTAATCTGTTCCAAAAAGGTGTGCTAGGACTATTTTCTCGTTTTTCCATGTGATTATATGCCAATCGATGGAGAAAAAGCTTTCGTCATTAGAAGATTTCTAATTCTAATAAAGGGCTTTCTCCTAACCAACCATTCCTGGCGGTTTAACTAATATTTGAGTGTTCCAACTGACCAGTTTCATATTGAGTAACATAATCACGAACTCTCCCAAAATGTGAAGTAAATGTTCCATATTTGAAGCATGATAGATTAATTTCCGAGGCATTGATTTCGGGTCTAAAACAATAATAATGACATTGATTTACTGACTATATAAATTACACTATAAAATGGGTCTTATATTTAGGACTGGATGAGTATTTATTAACATTACCAAATGACTTCTAATAATTTTTTTTTAAATTACATTTTTATGTTTTTTATAAGATATAAAATTATATCTATGTAGTTGCCAATTATTTAATCACGCTAAAATTATTAAATTGAAAATTAATACTTCTTTTTTTCCCAACGAATAAGAAATCTAACTTAAAAAATATTATTCTTCCATAGTACTCCTTCGGTCCTAATTATAAGACCCAATTGACTTATTTGATGAGATTAAGGAAGTAAGTTAAGTTGGTTATTTATAATAAATAAGTGTTGTCATTCCTAAAATATCCTTGCTAATTAAGTATATTGGCTAAAACTATCATTATTAGAAGGATTATCTTGGAAAAAAATGCATAAATATAAGAGACAAAATGGATTGGGTCTTATAATTAGGACCAAATAAAAAGTCAAATTGGGTCTTATAATAAGGATCGGAGGAGTATATTATTATTATTTGAAATAGATCCTGTAAATTTATTTTTCTCTCACTTCAAAGATTTCAAAAAGTACTTTATAGTTTATATACATTCTTTGGCACCAAGAAATCAAGATTGGTTATTAGGCCGCGACGTCGGGAACGAAACACTTATAAATAATAAACTGAATGATTATTTCTTACATTCAGTTATTGCTCTGTTGTTCATCACTTGATTCTTTTGGTGCACGCTTCTTGACCCTTGCTCTCTCCCGCGTCGCGCTCTTGCTTGCTGATTCTTCCATGGCGGATCCCGGTCCCAGTCCTAGGTCTTTCCTCTTCTCTCTTCTCAAGCTTTTACTTCGCGGTCTCCCAGCTTATGAATATGAAATTATCAACGTACACCTATCTGCATTATTAATTTCTTTGCTTTTCTTTCCCCTTCGATTCTCTTGAACATTCTCAATTGTATCTTTTCTGGTATCTGCAAGTTCTCTTCATTCTGGTCTGCTGCAAATTATAATTTAACATTTCTTTTTAAGTATACTTTTAAGGTGAAATTTTCTTCCCTTTAATATTTCCTTTCTTCTTTCTCCTAATGTCAATCTCTGCTTGCTGGCTAAAGCTCTGACCATCCGGATTATGCTGAGGTCGTTGTGATACGTCACGGTGAAACAGCGTGGAACGCTGATGGAAGACTGCAGGTACTTTTCTTGGGGGTAAAGTTTGACGTGATTGAGTATAAACAGTGATGATATTTGATATCAGTTTCACAGCGATCAAATTGTCGGTTGAACTCATTTCTGCTATTATATTTGATCCGTGCATGTAGCCTCACCAATATGATTTGCTTATTTTAGTAAAGGCTTTTCAAGTGAAAGTGGCACGAATCATCCACGTTTCAAATGATCTTCGTGCGGGAAGATACTATTCTTATCTTTTTGCAAAAGCATGAGCTTAGCTACCCCATAATCACACTGAAAGCTTAACGTAATCATGACAAGAAGCTCCGCTGCTTCTTTCCCTGTTTATGCCTTTCTTGTCCATTATTTCTTATTGATAGTACTTTTTGAGTTTCCTTACTTTAATTAAGCTCAACTTTCATATAAGCTCATGATATGTGTGTTGTCAGGGACATCTTGATGTTGAGTTAAATGAAGTTGGAAGAGCGCAAGCAACTGCAGTAAGTTGCTTTTGTTGCTCGATTTCTTTTCTACATACAAACCATGTGTTCCTGATGCTTTCTTTCTTTCTTTCTTTCTTTCTTTTCTTTGCTTATCTTTCTTTTTTGGAATCTATTTATGCATTAATGACGAATGTCAATATTTTGGATGGAGGTGGCCGAAAGACTATCTAAGGAACTGAAGGTCTCTGTTGTATATTCTTCTGACTTGCAACGAGCTTATGAGACTGCACAGATAATTGCAACCAAATGCGGCGGGCTAGAGGTTTGAACCCAGATTGACCTTCATGTTTCATTTCATTAAATTTTCTATCCTAGAATATTAGTTGGGTCTTGATTTCCTCTGTAAACCGTGCTTAGTGCTCAGTCATTGAGCTCATTCTGTATATCTGTATTCTCACAGTGGTAACCATTTATTATGACCCGGCCTATGCTTGAAGAATCTTCCTGTTTTGTGGTAATTATCACGTAGATACTGAAAAAATACTTTAATTGGCAACTATAAGATGTCCTGATCTTAAGTTCAATGGCGGATGCACATCATTCTCCCTCGTGTGTGTTATATCGCTTTACCTTCTCCATTTGCGTTGTCGAATTCAAATATAGTATAACGGTGGTTATATTTTCTTACTCCAGGTTGTCAAGGACCCTGACCTAAGGGAAAGACACCTTGGGGATCTTCAAGGCATTCCCCGTCATGAAGCATCAAAGATTAATCCCGCAGCTTGCAAGGCTAAGGATTGTGGTCAAGGAATACCAGTAAGTGCTATAGAACCCAAATCATTGCCCCTTATTTCAGATTAAAACAGGAATCCATATTCATTCCTGCACGTCAATAGAGACGTTTCCTTTGAGCTGGTGATGTTTATCATTCAATTCTTACACTAATTCGATTGGTTAGTGTTTTGCGTTGCCACTATATTATTAATATTATGAACGCCTTTAATGTTGCATGTACGTGCATCAATTAATGCATACGTCGCAATTTTCAGGGTGGTGGAGAAAGCGTTGATCAACTTTCCAAACGCTGCACATCTGCATTGCAGAGAATAGGCAAGAAGCATTTGGGTAGGTACCTCAAATTATCTAGCTCATGGCTTGTTCTCAAATTATTTGACATGCAATTTACTTGCCTTGGTGTGCCCGAGATTTCTTTCAGACAATGTGGGCATAACAAGCAATCATTTGCAGGGGAACGGGTAGCAGTTGTTACTCATGGAGGTGTCATCAGATCACTCTACATGCGGGTCAACACAGACCTGCCCCCTGGGAGCTTACCCAACACGTCTGTCAGTGTCTTTCACTTGTATAAAGACAAGTGGGTTATAAAAACTTGGGGTGATGTTAGCCATCTGAACCAAACAGGATTTCTGCAGTCGGGTTTTGGGGGCGACAGCACTTCTGGTTAGGCTGTATACATACGATGTTCTCCAAATAAATAATACTGGTTATGGAGGAAGGAGAGGGAAAGGGTGTCATTGTCTACTTTACTAGAATGTACAGTATTGTGACCTTGAATGATGCTAAACACTTATGAAGTTTCTTTACCAGTTATCCTATTATGTATATTCTACTTTACTATGTTGATGAATGCCATGAGTAGTATTGTGGGTTTTCCTTAGCCTGATTGATGAACGTCGAAAAGTACCTGTAAAATTAAATGTGACGTTTAAATAGGACTTATTGATTCAGGGCCACCAACTCTGCATGAGCTGTTGAGATCATTAATTAAGTTTCTTTCAGAGGGGCTGCTTTAAGTTGAACCTTACAACAACAGAGCATGGTTGATTTTAGTTTTCCTTGAGGGCTAAGATTTGTATGTTTGAGTCTTGTATTCTATAAACTGTTTGCCTGAGACAGCATTAGTAGTTGATGCTAGTGGATGGTTTCATGCCAATTAGGAAGCAACAGCTTAGCAAAGACTATTTCTCTATTGGATCATATTTAATCTGCTATATGTTTCAGTGTCTGTGTTCTATATTGCGAAGGCCTAAGAATAGTCTGATTTTGACAGTACCATCTTTTCTATAATTGGTTAGTAAACCTTCACTTGTATTTTAATCATTTTGTTTTTACTAACATAATTGATCTTTCTTTTGGAGGGGGGAAAAAAAAGCTCCCTGCGAGTTAGTGCAACTCCAACAAAAGAAAAGAAGAAGCTATAATTGCATCATATTTACTCTGTTGATGAAGGCAAACTGTGTTAGGTGTTAATGGGAAGTTTAATATTAGTGATAGGTAAATTAGAGGAGAATTATTTCTATATAGGTAGGTTGATTTTTTTTTTTAAAAAAATGGTGCATGTTTGGGATCCTGCTTTGGGGACCTCAAAATCAGTTTCCAAACATAGCTCCTGATCATTTAAAATTTGAAATTGAAAATATCCGAACTGTATTAAAAAAAAATTATATATAAGCTAGCCATTTCAAATTTGGACGCCTTCAAGGTTGTTGTTAAGTATTTATTATTTTCTATGGTGTAAAAAGTTAAACAGATATAGTAAATGATATAATTCAAAATATTTAAGTCAAAGCCTGACAATTTAAATGCAGCGTGGACCAGATAGGAAAGGGGCCCCCCATTGATGTGAATGAATACCTTTTGCCACCGGTTGTTAATTGTGCATATTATTAATGTAAAAGTGTAAATTTTTTTTTTTACCAGCAGTAAAAGTGTAAATTTGATCTTTTAGCTTCACATAGAATTTTATATTTATCTCTTAATTTTGTGACATGCCTTTTTTAATCATTATGCCCAGCACGGTTAATTTTATTTTAAAAAAATATTGGTATTAAAATTTTAAATTTTTAAATGTTAAAAAAACCCATCACAAATGTTGACATCCTAAATTTAATTTTTTTAAAATAATAATTAGTTAAAAACTATTTTTTTAAATTATCAGTGTTAGAGTTAAAAAAACTATAAAAAGATATTTTATAACAAAAACTAAATTAAAATTATGTATAAAATTAAAGAACTAAATACATATAACTTTCACTTAGATGCAATAAATTATACATGTTACTAATACAACTTAGCTAAATATATTTGGGATAGGATTAGGAGGTAATACTCCTCTGGTCCTTAATATAAGACCCAATTCTTAAGTTGGTTTTGGTCCTAAATATAAGACCCATTTTTCATATTTATCAATTTTCTCTTAATTACCCCTATGAATACTCCCTCAAGTATAATCAAGTAGAAGAGGGAGAGGAGGTATTATAAAAGATGTTTATGGTGTTTTAGGAAAAATGTGTCACTTTTCTTATAATTAACTAACTTACCTAACTTCCTTAATCTAATCAAATTATTTAAATGGGTCTTATATTAAGGACCGGAGGAGTATTATTTTCAGATTTTAGTAACCACCAATTTTTTTTTGTTGCTCAGAGTATCCTCCCACCTAAACGGTGAGAGATTAATTTCTCGGGATACTATTAGGCGTCGTAACGGGGACTTCTCCAAACAGTATTTGTTCTATACACACCGCCTCAAAAATCAAACCCAGAAGATAATATTTAAGGTGTCTAAATCCTTTTTACTTGGACTAAGACTTGTTGGTACAAAATATCTAACTAAAGAGCCATGGTATTTTGGAAGGGAATGGGCATGTAGCATGTTTGATTTTTGTTTTTGGAGGAACAAGTGATGGGACGTGAGGATGAGGCCCAGAAAGACTCGAAGGCTGTGAAGTGTGAAGCGAAGGGAAGGGAAGGCGCTTTCCCTTTCTCATCCGCCGCAGCCAACGGACAGAGCATTTTCTCATTCTTTTTGTTTCAAAGATCCGTTCCTTCCCCTTTCTGTACCTAACGTGCCAAGCAAGAAAAGTAGGGCACTGTGGTGGCTGCCTCCTTTTTTGGGCAAATGAAAATAAGTTTTCCTTTCTTCCTCTTTTTATTGCTGTCCATTATTAAATTATTGATAGAGACTCGTAACTTCATGTCTGGGGAAGCTTCAAATGGAACTTACTTTAATTGGAACACTTTTTCTTGATGAAAACTCGTTAGCCTCTCGCTATTTTTTTCCTTTTAAGTTTGATGAAGAAATAAGCTTATTCAACAAAAAGACATGCACCATATTCATTATTTATTATAATTTTTTTCTTTTATTTTTATTTGATGTTGATGTCGGAAAATAGAATAAAATAATTTTTACACGTAGTAAATGAAATTTAATACCTCTTTTTGGTTCCAATAGAAATTGGAGGTGACTTGTAAATGATATCGGATGAAGGAGCTTTTTAGTCATTTTAAAATAAACGTTTTTACATTTTATAAGATAAAATTCTTTTCATGTATTTATTTTATATGATGTAAAATTATTTATCTACAACCAATGGGAGTAAAATAGATGAATAAAAATTTAATTTATAAATGACAACAAATAAAATCTTCTCCATTTAGGAGTATTTTATTTTTGTTTTTTGGAGTTGAGTTTGTGGGGAGGCTATAAGCATGCGCGTCACAAAAGTGGGGATGCCTGTTATAAAATTCAGAGGTGGCCATCAATGCCCTGAACAACCACCACCTCCTTCTTTTCCTTCTTGTTCTTCTTCTTCTTCTTCAACCTCTCTCCCTCTTTGACTTCCATTAAACCTTTTCTCTTTCAGTTGCATCTCTCCCCCATCATTACCAACAACATCTTCATTCTCTCTATATTATGCTTCATTATTATTCTTTCTAATCTCCCCACGCCCACATCCCCCTTCATTTCCATGAATCCCTATAGATTTCTGACTTTTGGAAGTCAATCGTATTATTTAAGAACAATAAACAAAAAGCAAAAATAATTACTAGTATTTTTCATGTAGCACTGGCATGTGTCATCATCATATGAAAATACCAGCAATTAATAAACAAAACATGGAATACTTCAACTATATACATATATATAATTATAATTATGTCGGTTGACCAGAAAATTAAACTAATTAATTAAGGTAGTCAGTAGTAGTACGAGGAGTGTGTATTTGCCTTTTCTCGTTTGGCGCCAAAATAAGCGTAGCAGTGCAGAAGTCTTTTTCTGAGAGTCATTATCAGCATCCATCTATCATCATTAGAATGCACAAGTCAAAATGAGAAATCAAGTGCTGAGAATATAACATAATCATGATGGCTAGGATTTTATTATATATATATATATATGTTGCAATTAAATAATATATATTAGAAGGGTGACATGTCTCTGTTCGATTTCGAGCAGAAGAAATATCAGAGTTAGTTGAAACAGTGATTTTATAATGACATTCTCACACACTTAATGATTAAGCAAACTATTTAGGACATGCTCAAATGGTAAACAAGAATAATTATATGTAAGATACAAACTGGGTATGTATTGTCAACGAAACAATATATAACATACAATACAAGCACATTATTGATCTAGAAACTTAAAAACTAGGGTGATACAAAAATAGAAGAAAGAAATAGAGTTTAATTATATCTTCTGCTGAACTGTTTTATATATTACTCTTCCGATTCTTAATATAAAACCTAATTATTAAGTTGATTTTAGTCCTAAATATAAGACCTATTTATCATATTTATCAGTTTTTTCTAAATTATCCATATTGATACTCCCTCAAGCATAATCAAGTAAAAGAGGAAGGGAGGATATTAAGAAAAATGATCATAGTGTTTTAGGAAAAACATGTCATATTTCTTATAATCAACTAATTTACCTAACTTTTTTATTCTAATCAAATTAGTTAAATAGGTGTTATATTAAGGATCAGAGGAGTATTGTTTTTGCTTTTATTGATGTCATTGCTGGGTTCATACAGCTTGAATAACTCAGAGATGGTGAAGATCAATAATGAAAGGGAATTGATGATGGCATGTTGAGTGGGTGGCAAGAAAATTGATGAGAGATGAACGTGGCTGGTTTTATGTGTTGGGCTGGCCATTGGGATGAAGTTTCCCAACAATATAATAAAAGTGAAAATTAATTATTTACAAGACACAATTATAAAAGAAAACAATATATGCCTATGGAGGGACCAAATCAAACCAAATTGGACTCTCCCACTAATTCCTGCCTCTCTCTCCCTCTCTCATATTTATATTTAAATTTATATCTTGAAATATGGACAGTGGTAGCTAGTGCAATGAGAGAGTGGATTCTTGTGTTTGCCATTCATAACAATCCATAGAATATCACACTAACACGACAAGAATCACAGAAGTTTCAAGGAAGCTGTCCAAGCTTTGAAGCTTCCCTCAATGATATTATTACACCTCCCGTTCTTAAAAACAAGTTAAATTGCTTAGTTATAACAAATGTGATCTGATTTTTCAAAAATATCATATATATATATATATTAATTTATAAGTTACACAAGTTAGTTTAACAAAATTATAAATATTAGAAATAAAATGGGTTAATATATATAATTTTATAACATCTTAATCAACTCTTATATTTATGATCGTAGGAATAGATACCAGCCCGCTCTTACTTTATTACTTTTGTCACATAGTCC